TATAAATTATTTCTCCCTGAGAGGACATCAGAAATAAGCATTTAGATGTTGGACTGCCATCTGCCTAATTCACTTATCTTTGGAGGGCTTCTTCCTTCTCAACATAAGTGGAAAGACGGGGAAAAACCAATTTAGTGAAACATGGGAAAGGGGGCCAATATCTGTTCAAACTGTTCTTCATGTGAAAAATCAGTGGAAAACTTGAATGCTGTGCTGCACATTTTCAAAGCCGGCTGTGTTTATGTACTACTACTTGCTCATAGTGCTTAAGAACCAACATTGGTGGGGGAGAAAGATCTTACAGGTCTATCTGTGCTAGAGTGTGGTGTATTGAAGATTGAGCTGACACAGACCAAGCTACCACAAGCAGTCCATCAGTGGCATCAGAGTACAGCGCAAACTTACTCTTCTCCCCTGCCGTGATATACATTTATCATAAGTCCTTGAGCAGCTGTGGCAAACTGCTTCTAGTAGCTCAGACTGCTTTGAAAGTAATTTCTTTCTTTTTACGTCATCTTCAGCTTCGGTCAAATCTATGTTCTAATTATGCTTTTACATTTACTGAATTTATTTAGGTTCCTGGTGCAAGTTGGGGAGACCAGGTATATGCAGTTAGCTGAAGTTGGTGGTCATCAGCTTGAGCAGCAAAGACCTTACTTCCTTTTAATGGAGTGAAAAAAAAAAAAAGCCTGGTTTGACCGTCAGTTTTTGAAGATGTTTGTGGATTACAAACATCGTAAGAAAAAAAATTAGTGATTCTTGCCCTCTGCTTTCTGCTCTTCTAGTTTCTGGTCATCTGCACTTCAGGGACTTCCAGAGCTAGAAGTTGGATCCTTCTAGTTTATTTAAGAGCATTCTTGCCCTCTGCTTTCTGCTCTTCTAGTTTCTGGTCATCTGCACTTCAGGGACTTCCAGAGCTAGTTTGTTTAAGAGCTATATTTCTTTTTGTCTCTGGCTGTAGAGTGTAGGGTGAAGGCTGGTAGGAGGAGACAGAGGGCAAGAGACCTGCGTCCAGTATCAAAGATGTGAACGCGCAGTTTATTTAAACAGTAACAAAGCAATGTTTTCTGTTCTTCTCAATTCCTCTTCTAATACTCCTGAGCATTCTGTTAGCAGAATGAAAAAGTCTAACGAGCACTGAGCTTATGGTTTTGTCAGGCTGGCTGTAGTGACCTGAGCTGAGTGGCATGAGCTAATTTATGTAACCACAATAGTTTTCACTAAGAAAAAGCAGATACTGTAAGTTCATTACTTTGTATTTAATGACATTTAGTGACAAAATGTCAACTGGAGATCAGTCAGTATAGATCCCTTTCTGAATTCTTTAATCAACTCATACCTAATCCCTGGATAGAAAAGTATCTTCTGCACATTTTGTTATCTTATTATTCACAACCTTTTCCAGATCTTTCATGAAGATGAGCAGCACAGATCTCAAGACTGATTCCTGTGGGATTCCACTGGTAACTTTCCTCATTGTGAAAAATGGCCATTTATTTTTATCCTTTGTTTCCTCTCTTTTAACCAATTGTTAATCCTCAAGAGTCCCTTCCTTTTTATCCTTGACAATTTAGTTTCTCTGAGTGTTTATTTAGGCCTGTTGGAAACTTTGTGGAAACTCCATACACCCTGCCTGTAAGGGAAGCACTATAGCGAGAGCTTATGGAAACCTTCTAAGAATTCTGCTACATTTGTGAAATTAATTTTTTCCTGCAAAAAAAAAATTTCTCATTATGTTATATATATATCTATGTATCTGCTAATTGCTTTTATTATTGTCTTCATTTTGCCTAATACTGAAGTAAGATTTACTGGTATGTAGCTTCGCTGAAATCTCTCGCCCATTGGGATCCCTGTTTGCCACCTTTGATTTGTCATTATTGACAGACTTTTTCATACAAGAGCTGATTTATGTTGCTGCATTGAAGAGTTAATAATGCGTTTCATAGAGTTGCTTTAGAAGTCAAGTGAATGACACCTGGTCCTGTCCAAACTGACGACACAGGAAAAAAAAAGTCAGCAGAGAGCCATAAAATACAAGTTTTGCTACTTTCTGTTGTGAAAAAATTGCACAATAAAGTGGAAATAATTTGGGCTACTAGCCACTATCTTCAAAATCATCCACTGTGTTAGAAGGGTTGGAGGCAGCATAATTTTACTGGTTTTTTTAGAAAGTTTTGGAGAGTCTTTCAAGAACAGATCACCAAATTTTCCAACGCATGCAAGTTTGGGGAAATATCTGCTTTTATAACTTCATTTGCTGTAACAAAGACTGTCACTAAACTGTTTATGTAATTTTAATATATGGATTAATGTGTGGATTTAATATGTGGAATTTCCTTGATGCAGTTTAGTTCTCCTTTCCCATTCTCGATGACACTAAGAGTGTTAAGTTGCTTTTAGCAAAGGTGACCTTTCAATTTATCTGCTACTTACATTTATTTTTACTTCTTAACAGCACAGAAAACTGGCAATTCCCCTTATAAGTTATCAACTCTTCTGCTATTGGAAATTTTTGGGTAGCAGTTTTTATAATTCAGCTGATTCCTCTTTAAGAATAATTGGCCTGTAGCTGGGAGACTTGTTACTAAAACAGCAGAGTGTGAGTGCGTGTGTGTTAGGGGGGAATTATTTTATGTTTGATTTGAAAGAAATACCTACTGCTCCAGAGAAAGGTGTGAGGAAGTAGGGAGATAGATGATAGACATACAAATGTGCCATAATAGCACAAAGGACACTTTGTAAACTATAGTCAAGGCCTTAAACAAGAAGATAAGGTTGATGTGGCATGTTCTTTGCTTTCTTAGCTCTCTTCCTGAGCCTTTATTTAAAAAGAAAAGAGAAATGCTCATGTAATTTCTGGGATAATGATTAAGGCAAAGAATGCTTATTAATGAGTTAGAGCAAAATACTATATATGTTTGGTTTGGGGTTTTTTTTTCCCTTCCCAAGAAGAAACTTTAAATCAAAAAAATATAGGGCTACAGTTGAAACTAAACTTTTGCATATGTGCGTAAATATATTTATTACAATAATCATGATATATAAAAGACTATAGTTCTTAAAGTGAACTGCTTACTCTTTTTAGATAGCTTATTTGGGACTTTAACACTGTTGCGTCATGATACTGCTACAGGGCATGCATTCATCAGTGTATCTGTATGCATTTATTTATTTGGAGCACATTAATCCTACATGTTTTCCCAAACTATAATGTACCATTTAGTATGTGACCCTCTCCATTACTGACTATGTATGCCTTCTTGTTGTTGAATTCATCTTAATGTGTGGGGATGATGAGTCATTTTTACTGAGAAGACATTTCGCTTTTTTCTGGGTTCTGATGGATGTCTATTGACTGACTGCTCTTTTGCAGGTGAAGTGGATGATGTACTGGATTGTGTTTGCCTTTTTCACCACCGCAGAAACACTCACAGACATTGTTCTTTCTTGGTGAGTTCCTTTGTGGCATGGGTTTTTTTGTTGGTTGTTGTTTTTTAAAGAAGCGAGGAGTAGTGTTAGGATGCTAAGAATAAACTGTCTCTCCTTTAGGAGTTTTCAGTCCCTATGAAGAGTCTGCAGGTTTGTAGATATTTTGGGTAGCAGCAGCTGTCTTAGCTGTTTCATCTCCTGTACTTGCAAACAGTTAGGATAAATACACAGTATCTGTAAGAGGATCTTCATCCATTCATAACATAAAATATTTCTGAGAAGCTGTTAATGTGAACTGATAAAGTTTGAGAAATGGTGGTCTAAAAGACACTTAAAAAAAAAAACGTGGTAGAAGGAAGGAACCTGTTTTGCTTTGTGAGCCTGTTGTGTGGAGGAGCAGATCGGATGCATGTCTGCGCTCTGGGTGGTGTTCTGCATGATGAAATTCTCTTCCACTGGTGGGGGTGGGCTGGAGTGGAGTTGGGGGAAGCAGGTTCTTAATCCTTTCAGTGCTGTGTGTCATGCTTGGCAATATGGAGGCCTCCAAAAATGACAAATCATTGTTACCCTGTTCCAAAGGTTCAATGGAAGACATGTATCTTCAGTTTCTTCATTGCTTTAGTGTTTGAGCTTTGCATACATCTCTGAAAGAATACTAGTCAAGAGTTGCGCCTTTTAAAGAAACATGAAATGGCTACACGTGCCTTACAAAAGCGCTCAGCAGTTTTGCCTCTTCCTGCGTAAACTTGGAAAAGCAGACAAAAATTTAAAAAGTACAAGAGCTTTGGCTTGTTCATGTACTTAAAATGGACCACTGAAAACAGAAGTCTCTTACTACTAATAGAGACAGTAGAAAGTTTGTATTCACTTGTTTCAATCTCTGCTACGGTATCTTCCCAGAGACTTTATTGGGTAAGGGTTAGAGATGAGGGACTTACGTGCTGCCTGCTCGTTTTCATTTACACTGATCTTCCTTTTGTGTCTTATCTGAGGAGTACCTACTGGAAGTTTCAGAAACTGAGCCATCAGCCTTAGCAGGAACTTAAGTTTTATTGAGATACATAGTTGAAAACTTTGGAAAATGAGAGGGAAACTAGTGTAATATTAACATCCAGTGGATACTCTCTGAACAAACTTCAGAATGATGAGAGTAGCTATCAGATTGTAATTTGGTGTGTTTGCAGGGCTGAGAGATGCCCTGTTTATGGAGTTTTCATGGCTATGGATGAAAGACTAAATGAGACTCGAAGAAGGTATGTCCTAGGATTCCAAAGAGGGTTCTGCTATTCTGACCTGATATATCAATTCTTTTGTTTCTGAGCCTTTATCTTGCCTTTGCTCTTTCTCCCTGTGCTGCTCTCTACCAGTTATCTCCACCTGTCTCTGTGCTGATCTTGATTCCAGTTCTCCATCTTTCTCTCTCTCTCTCTTTTTTTTTTTCTTCCCTCTTTCTCTCAGGTTTCCCTTTTATTTCGAGCTGAAAATCGCATTTGTGATTTGGCTGCTCTCCCCTTACACCAAGGGCTCCAGTGTCCTCTACAGGAAGTTTGTGCACCCAACGCTCTCCAATAAGGAGAAGGTACTCGCTTGTTGTTAGAAGATACTGACCCGTCCGGGAGCTGACTGACTTCTGATTCGGTTATGCCACAATAAAAACTGAAATGCGTGAATCATGCTTGTGCTGACATTAGTAGATGTAGAATGATTCTGTCTCTGACGATGATGTCATACTGCAGCTTACTGAAGATTGTATTGTAGCCAGTAGTTTGCCTAATGCTTAGAAAGCATGTTTGGCTAACCCAGTGTCATGAGCCCTTGTAGTCACTGTCAGAAGTTAAGCTCTTTGAATCACGATAGGAGCAGCATGTTCTGTCACATTGTCAGTATAAGCAACTGCTTTGTTTCAGTTGCTACAATTCGGAGATAGCGTACTTTAAGTAAAAGTTGCATCGGCAAGCTTTCTGTAAGTAGCAGAGAAACGGCAGTTAATTGATCAATGACTGCTGATGCTGGTAGCCTGGAAAAAAGCGTCCAAATGAGCTTTGGGTTTTTGAGGGTGATGGTGGGGAGACTTTGATCATGTTTGTAACGAGGAGCTAAATGCCGTGTTCCACATTGCCTTCCTAGGAAATTGATGAATACATTACTCAGGCTCGTGACAAGAGCTATGAAACCATGATGCGAGTTGGCAAGAGAGGGTTAAACCTTGCTGCCAATGCAGCAGTTACTGCAGCTGCAAAGGTAATGCAACACCTTCCGTAACATTCAGGAATTCCCCAGCCATTTAGCTTTGTGTGCCAGCAGTTAGTGCTATGGCTCTGTTAGGGATGCTGGTGTTGTTGGCACCAATCTACGTTCCCTTTCCTCCAGTTTGCCTTGCAGTTAATCCTATCCTTTGACTTATGAAAAGTGGAGGGAGAATGAAATGGATTCTGCTTTAACCTCTTCCCTGTTGGTCTTGGGAGCATGCTTTTCTTTTTCCCTTCTCTGTTTTTTTCAGAGTACCCTAGTGGGGAATAGGGCACCTTTCCTCTTCTTCTGAATGATCCCATGTGAGATGATCTTGGTGAAGGCGAAGTGCCCTTGACCCTAATTTTTATGTCCTCTTAGGGCCAGGGAGTTTTGTCTGAGAAGCTGCGAAGTTTCAGCATGCAGGATCTCACTCTGATCCGAGATGAAGATACTGTGCATATGCGAAGCCATGAGCCACAGCTGCACCCCTCTGGCGGGAGTCTTCTTGAAACCATTGAGGATTCAGGTACAGAACACCCCTGCTGGGCCGTTGTCTGAGGCTTCATGTGGTGAGCCAGGAGGGGAGGAGGGGTTCCCTGGACTTTTCATGCATTGGGTCTCAGAAGGACTCAAGGTTCCGAATTATCTGGGAGAAATTGCATTGTCTTCCCTAGTCCCTTCCCATCTACTAACACATCTCTGTACTTTTTGGGTTATCCTCCTTAAGGATTGTTGACATGTCCCTTTCATGTGGTCCTTCAGGATGGGCCATTTTAGACCTCATGTGATTTTTCGAAAGTATTTGCTAAAACTTTCTCTTTTATTCCTTTAGCTTCCTGTTACTCCTCAGGAGAGGAGAGCATTGTGGCACAGAGGTCTAATGGAACCCCATTGGAGACTAGAACAGACCCATCAGATGAAGATGCAGGAGACAAACTTCCTAAACGTACCCAGAGTCTCAAAACTCCCAAGAAGATGATGAAAGCTGAGGTGAGCTGGTGTGTGAATTATTTCCAGCACAGACATTAATTTGTGAGCTGTGTTGGAAGGCTCTGGCTTCCTAGGTGCATTTAAAAGTTGTTTATATAAACTTTCTTGGACTAAGTCTTTGCTAGTTGAGACCTACATCAGAGGACTTGCTGTCTACTTGCTATACTAGTCTCTAGCTTTTGTATTTTTATCATGCCTGTAAGACTCTGTCATGAGCCAGGACCCAGCTTTGCTTTCTTTCAGGTTTTGTGTTAAAGGGTGGGGCATTAGATATTTTTAACATGTTTTGTCGACTATATCCTCTCTCCTGTCTGTTACACCTGAATATATAATACTACTGTGACATTTATCCCTGGGACAGCCACTTTCTCCTCATCGGTGCAACGGTTCTGTACCCTCTTAGGCCTTC